ACACACACACACACACACAGACACTGGACCTTAGTGAATCTTGGCTGCTGGGTTGTTCTCTTGGAACAGCCTCTGTCCCCCCTCCCTCCATCGCTCCCTCCTCTCCCCCCTTCTCCCTATCCTCCTTTATTATTATGAAAGGGTGGAAAGAGGGATATGTGGCCAGTCCTCCCATCCCTGCCTGGCTAGTTGGATTCCTAAAATGAGCCTAATCCACTGCAAGAGGAATCCGCATCCATCAATAGTAGTCCTGTGTAGCTCAGTTGGTAGAGCATGGTGTTTGCAACGCCAGGGTTGTGGGTTCAATTCCCACAGGGGGCCAGTATGAAAATGTATGCACTCCCTAACTGTAAGATGCTCTGGATAAGAGCGTCTGCTAAATGACTAATATGTAATCAAAGGCTGTGTTTACACAGGCAAACCAATTCTGCTCTTTTGGCAAAAGTGCTGATATGATTGGTCAAAGGACCAATTTGTGGTAATAAAATATCAGAATTGGGCTGTCTGTGTAAACGCAGCCATGGAGGATCCATTGATCATGGGGATACATATCCAGCTGCATACAGTATAGTATAGCTTATTAGACTAGATGAAAAGCAGACCATCTCCACTGATAATGATGACTGTGTTCGGCAGGTAGCTTAGTGGGTAAGAGCGTTGTGCCAGTAACCGAAAGGTCGCTGGTTCTAATCCCCGAGCCGACTAGGTGAAAAATCTGTCGATGTGCCCTTAAGCAAGGCACTTAACCCTAATTGCTCATGTAAGTCGCTCTGGATAAGAGCGTCTGCTAAATGACTAAAATGTAAAAATGTGTTCAAGACGTTTCCTTTTTCTTTCCACCTGTATAGGACGGCAGCCTGATAGAAGCTACATGAAACACTGAAACGGTACAGACGGTGAACACTCTCACTCTGTCATCGTTCCAAGTCAGCCTGGTAGCTACTAAACTACTAAACATTTCCATTCAGGTAGATAGGATTTGTAAGTGCTTTTTAAACAGCTTTTTAGACTACAATTCTCTAGGATTCAATAACTGTCTGGCACTTGCTGTGACCTAATTCAATAGACCCTTATGAGTCTCAGAGGCCGTGTCAAACACTACTGTTTTCATTTAACATATTTCGGACTCAACTTTGTGTTAAATGTTGCCTCCCTGCATTCGTAAAAAGTAACTTTAATGCCAATGTATTTTACAATTTATTTTACAGGTGGTCTTCAATCATAATGTGTTGGTTGTCCCTGAACATCTTGAGCAACCAACGAATGGCCCTGTCTGTCTGAGAAAATGGCTGAATCGAAAAAGAGTGTGTTCTTCTCGAAATTACTGAGACGTTTTGGGCCTCCGAAATATCACAAACACATTAACCATATTTATCACAACTAGAAACCATGCTGTCATGGTACTAAACTAAATTACAAACAATAATAGATTTAAAATGAAATTACACAAGTAGGGAAATAGATTGATCTACTTATCCAATCTAAACAGAACCTATCAAATATTTTTGGGGAAACTTGGCTGAACAAACCAACTGTTTAGTAAATAAGAAAAAAGAGCACCATTAACTTAATATGAAAAACTAGCAAAAAATCACTATTCAATCTGTAACGCTGAAGTGTTACAGATTCCGTGATAGAAATGAATGAAGCTGGAACATTGCCTTAAAATTTCAAAAACGCTATAAAGTTGAACTTCCGCGATGTGGATTGAATAGAGCCATGTATTGATGATATATCAGTTGTGCTTAGCTATACAGTACATTACACTTCGCAGAACAGAACCTGAGAAAATGTACCACTGTCAAATCTCTGAGAAACCTCTGCCAAAGATCTCTCACTCTCTCTCCATCTCTCTCCTTTCGCAGGAATGTAGAGAATTATTTGGCGTGTAATGATCTATATCATATCGGACGGGGCAAAATCTGGTAGTGAGCAAGAAGAAAAACATTCAGTGAGATTCCTGCCATTTAATATTCCATTAAAGGGTAATTTGGCATGAAACCACTGGCATGTGCATTGGAATTCTACTGCTCCTTGTTTTCAATGAAATTCCCAACAGGATTTTTCTGACTTCTGTTTTCTTTTCGTCAAGCAAAAAAAAAAGGCTCTTGGTTTTCCCATTGAGTGCGGGGACAGAGTAAGCTTGCATCCCAAATGGCACCCTGTTTCCTATGTAGTGCACTACTTTGACCAGAGCCCATAGAGAAAAGGGTATAGGAAATAGGGAGCCATTTGGGACGCAGACAGAGTAAGTCTACACTCAACATCTCCTGCCACGTCTGACTGCTCTCTGAAGTCAGAGATAACACCCATGGCAGACATCCACCAATTGTCCCATTAATGGACATTTAACCAATGGGCTCTGATCAGCGGGCACGCCACTTTGGCTTAAGCGAATCAGAAGTGAGGCAGAGGTAGGGGCTTATAACGAATGTGCCAGTGCCAAGAACTCTGAGAGTTCTGAGAGCTCAGTCTCTCGATCTCCTACAGCCCATGCATGCAGGCACGCACGAACACACTCACCCACAGACACATGCACACGCTCAGACACACACACACACACCTCCAGTCTGGGAAGCTCAGCTCAGGCCTGAAATTTCAGACACTCTGTAATTGTCAAAAGGCTCAGGAATTATTTCACTACTAAAATATCTGGAATGTTCAGACAGGAGAAAAAAGCTCCAGAGGAAATGATGCAAATTGGAGCTTTACCATTCTCTCTCTATCTCTCTAATTCTTTATTTCTTTCTTACTCGCTCTTTCTTTTGCTCTAACTCTCTTTCTCTCTCCCTCTAACTCTCTCTCTCTTCCTCTATTTCACTCTCTCTTCCTCTTTCTGAGCCTCTCTCTCTTTCTCGCTCTCTCTCTGACAACAAGCTCAGATGTAGAATTATAGAATTAAACTTTCATTTAATTTGTTTTCTTTTTTTTGCTGAGATTTGATGATGAGAGGCTAGCAGGTGTTCGCGTGAACTTTCTTGTGAGCCAAAGCCTTGGATAACTTTCCGTGCATCGGGATTCAAGCTCCCTTCTTCTCTCGCATGTAACAGAGGAGAAACCGTTCCCAATAATGCCTGGCTGGCCAGCCCAGAAACCCAAGAGGGAGAAGTCATAGCCAAGACATTATAATTACCATGGAGATAAAATAGTTACTTTCTATTAAAACATTATGTGGGCCAGGTAAATAATTCCTTAAATATTTTTCTTATTAAATCGGGTCCTGTGCTGAAGCCTAAGCTAATCCTCTCTCTCTCTCTCTCTCTCTCTCTCCTCTCTCTCTCTCTCTCTCTCTCTCTCTCTCTCTCTCTCTCTCTCTCTCTCTCTCTCTCTATTTCTCTCTGTCTGTGTCTGGCTGGTGACTGACGTGCTCAGCAGGTGTCTCAGTGAGAGAAATAAGGTTTTTTCATGTCAGGGAGTTTTAAGGATTTGATGTGGATGGAGGATTGTAACAGTCGCGATCGCTGGAGCGTTTCATTGGACTGCCTCCCCTATCCGGCTTAAACATCACTTCAAATTCAAATAAAATAAAATCTAATTTAATTTTTCACATGCGCCGAATACAACAGGTTTAGACCTTACCGTGAAATGCTTACTTACAAGCCCTTAACCAACAATGCAGTAAGAAAATAGAGTTAAGAAAATATTTACTAAATAAACTAAAGTAAAGAAAATGTCCGGGTGGCCATTTGATTAATTGTTCAGCAGTCTTATGGCTTGGGGGTAGAAGCTGTTTAGGAGCCTTTTGGACCTAGACTTGGCGCTCCGGTACCGCTTGTCGTGCGGTAGCAGAGAGAACAGTCTATGACTTGGGTGACTGGAGTCTTTGACAATTATTTGGGCCTTCCTCTGACACCACCTAGTATATAGGTCCTGGATGGCAGGAAGCTTGGCCCCAGTGATGTACTGGGCCGTACGCACTATCCTCTGTAGCGCCTCTCCCTTCCTTCGCATAGACAATGTAAAACACGTTTAGCCATAAGATCAAGTTTGAATATTATAGGATAATATCCCTCACCCTACCCCCTCTCAATCCCACTCCTCCACCTCAATCTGAATTCCCTATAGGCACTTTTGAATGAAAATATTATTATCAGTTATGAAGTCTTCTTTGGAACAAAGGCCCAGTTGTTCTAGAACTGAAGAAGAACTGTAAGAACTTCATGCAGCACTCTGTGAGATTAGGTCTAATTGGTAACAGCACCTGCAACCTGTGGGTGAAACATCATGAAACCATGAAGCCTTTATAAGACACAGCACATACAGCCGTTCTGATATCCAAGGCCAGCCCACAGGCACTAAAACCAGGGGTTAAGGGACACTGCACTGTGAGAAATTAATATGCCAAGTGGAAAACTCACATGCACACTCTTTGTTTCATGTGCCTCGCTCAAATATATCCATTGTTTTGTATTACTTTAGCTTCGGTTTTTGTTTTATTTTCACTGAGCCCCTGCTCCGCCTTGGGGAAAGCTGCACGCTCATGATCACAGATGCTGGCTCACACACGCTGGCACACACACGTTTCCCTCCCATGTCTGCCCTGTTCTCTCTCTTTCAGTAAGGCCTCAAGGCAGGACCAAAGACATGCCAAACAGTAGTCAGAGTGTGAGTAAGTTACACATGGTCTTATTGTGTCTCTAGTGTTAAACCCTAAACCCGTTAGAGGAACGAGAGAGGGCGAGGGAGTAAGGAGGAATTCCACAGTGTACTTGGCATTAGGGGGCAAACCTAAGACAGTGCGAGACCAGGGTCTCTCTGTTGTTGTGAACAGGACACACAGAGAGATTTATATTAGACTTAGCCAGGTCCCAAATGTCACCCTATTCCCTACATAGTGCACTACTTTTGACCAAGGCCCTTAGGGCTTTGGTCAAAAGTAGTGCATTAAGTTGGGAATAGGGTGTCATTTGGGACACACCCTGAAAGGCTCCGGCCAGGCTATCCTTTCCTATAGGTACCTAGGAGGTCCATTTCAGTAGCCACAAGTAACATATTAACTTTCACTCATCTGAAATGAAAGGAGAGTGTGAGAACAGGGAGTACAGAGAACCAGAACCAGGCTGCTGAAACAGGACAACAGGAGTGGAACAGCAGTGGAACATCGTCACAGCGCCCAAGAACGCCCTCCTCACAACGAACGGGCCAGATGGGGCTGAGGGCCGGGAATTAAAACAAAATGTGCAGATGGGGACAGAAAGAGAAAAAAGAGAAGAGAAGAGAGAAGCAGCAGGCAGCTAAATCTTGAGGAAAGAATGTGAGAAAGAATGTAGGACTCTTACCAGCTCGATAAACAAAGTTTGCCTCGGTTTCTGAGGACGACGGGGAGAGGAGATCGTCGTCGTACTCGTTGGAGCTGAAGGATCCCGAGTGGTTCCTCTTCCTGGCATCCATGACGGCGTTGGCTACCATCACGTGTCGCAGCGAATCGTTGAGGTACCGGTGGAGCAAGCTACTCTTGTACTTGGGAGGCGGAGTCACATAGTCCTCGGCCAATGAGGCAGCGGCCCGGAGCCCCACCCCCATCATGGCGGCGCCCTCTTTCTTGATGACGCTCTGGTACATGGGCTTGCTAAACTCACCGCCACTCGTCTGCGTCCGCTGAGTGTTGTCCCCGTCTACAACACCATGGGGTGCCACCAGGGAGAAAACAGACAAAGTAGAGAGAGAAAGAAAGAAAAATCTGACATTTAGTTCCTCTGTCTGTATGCCCTCCAGTTGGCAGGGCTTCACCCAACTACAGTGAAGGAAGACCTCAGCTATCAGCTTAAGACCAAGGCATTACCAAACCATAATGGATGGTAGCCCATTTCCTCTCTATAAAAAGCACATTGCTGTTATTCTTTGCAGAAATAAATCCTTTCCAGGGAGCTCTTTGCGGCTGAGATTGAATTAAAATATTGTCCCCACCTGATGAAAGAAAATACAAAAGATAGAACACGGTGCTGAAAAACAGATACCCTGTCTGGACGAGGGAAATCAAGAGAGCTCCACTCTAGATGATGTCAGTGCTAAGACTGTAATTGGGTAATTTCGGCAGGTCTGAGTTTTGATTCAGTCTGGGCCAAATTATAATTATAGCTTCTACATATCAGAACCACATGGACATATTTGCTTTCCTTCTCCCTGCTTTCTGAGGTAGATATTTGAGACGTATATTCGAGGCGTACGTTGCACATCCGAGAGTGAGTTTGAAATCCTCAGCCGACATGTAAAACAAGCTAGCCAAAGGTTCCTTTTTTAAGCCTTTGACATTTCTCTTTCATGCCCTTCCTCAAGTCGGACATAAACCTGAGCTACATGTGACCTTTAACCTCCCTCTGTCTGACCCCTGACCTCTTCCTGTTGAGGCATTGCCACGGCAACCCCGCTGACACTGAGGTGAAATATCTAACAGCGAGACCTTGAAAGTTAGACTGAATAGTTACAGGGTCATTGGGATTATGGTCTCATCAGTCACATAACTAACTCTCTATCAGATCACAGTGTGTATCTCTCCTCCTCAACAAACCTATTAGGGCTTAAGAGACTGAGTGACACCACAGTACAGTGCATGGGTGTTTCTCTGTATCAAAAAGAGCTGAGAGAGAGAGAGAGAGAGAGAGAGAGAGAGAGAGAGAGAGAGAGAGAGAGAGAGAGAGAGAGAGAGAGAGAGAGATGAGCAGGAGAGAGAGAGAGAGAGAGAGAGAGAGAGAGGAGGATGAGACGAGATCGTGGACACGAGAGAGAGAGAGAGAGAGAGAGAAAGAAAGAAATACACAGCTGACAGAGCCTCTTATTCCAATTGCAGGCTGGGATCTGAAGGGGAAGCTAGTCCTCAGCCCTAGGGTGTCTTAATGACAGCGTGTCACAGCCTCTGAGCCTCAGCTTCTGTCTACCAGGACACACAGTGTGCATCCCACATAGAACCCTATTCCCTATATAGTGCACTACTTTTGACCAGAGCCCATAGGGTTCTTGTCAAAAGTAGTGCACTATATAGGGAGTAGGGTGCCATTTAGGACACAACCACAGACAGGCCATTTATAACACCAGCACATGGCCCTGCATAACTGGATCCTTACTTTGGAGCTGGAGCGGTCGGATACGAGGCATATGGGAGGAGGAAGATGGTTGTATTTGGCTGACCTCATTTTCTGAGATAGAGATATGATATGAAGAATTCGATGAAGGATGTTATGAGGTGTTATGAGCTGATACTTTGGCAGTGAGGGGTGGTTACCTTCTGAAATATGTGATGTATGAGGTGTAATGTGATAGGTTGGCCCTGGCAGTGAGGGTTATCTTTATGAGATAGACATATGGTGTTATAATATGATAGGTTGGCAGTGAGGGGAGGGTTAGGACTTACCTTCTGAGCAGGTGTCATCGCTGCTGACACTCAGTCTCTCTGCATTGCCTTGGACGTATTTGTTGTAGAGTTTGATGCGCAGGGCCCAGCTCAGGTCTGGCTGTCTCACTGTGTTCTTCAGCCTCCGTCTGGCGTTGGCAAACCAATTAGAGACCTGAGAGATGGAGGGAGAGGGAGGGAGAGAGAGAGAAAGTAAGAAAGACAGAGTGATAGGGAGAGAGAAACATATAAAGTGAGAAAAAGACAGAGTGAGATAGGGAGAGAGGAGAAAGAGAGACAGAAGATAAAAAATAGAGATAGAGACAGAGAAAGAGAGACCGAGACGGCAGAGAAACAAAGACAGAGAGCAAAGTACGAGGATAGTCAGAGAGAAAAGAAAAGGGAGAGAAATAGGAAGAAAAATAGAAATCACTATTATTGTTTGGATTCAAAACACCCCCACATCCATGACATAACACAGACTATCCTTTAGGGAAATGTCTGCTGTGCCTCCCTCCCTCCGGCCTGCCTTACCCTGGGCATGAGAGAGACGGAGAGAGAGTCAGGTTGCAGTACGGCGGACCCTAATACCCATAATACCGCTGAACCAGTCTCTGAGACATCCCAGACACACTGGGGAAACGGGTCGGAGCAGTGCATTCATTTAGTCTAGTCATCTTTAGTCCTCTAGTCTATATCAAAGGCTTTCAAAATGCCATTCACAAACATTTAACACCTCCAAATGCTTGACAGGACCAGCGAATGTAACGTTTCATTAATTTATTTCCAACCCAATGTACCCAGTCCTATGTGCTTATTCTGGATTCCGCCGCTCTCCTTCTAATAATGTATTTTTTTCAAGCACTGTCTTCTTTAATGCAATAAAATGATACCCAACCCTGCCTTCTCCATTTCACAAGAACCAGATACCATAAGATGTTACTCTAGAATAACTGTTCATGCTCAATAGACTTCAAGCAACTTATGAAAGGGTTGGACTGGCCATATGTTAGAGTACTTATTTTCGGATCTTTCCTGTGTTTCAGTATCATGTTTCTCATTAACGAAGAGAGTCCCACGTCCCTTTGTTTCTGGCTGAGGGCATGTCACACCAGGGGCCTTAGCTGAGGCGTCTACATGTGGCTTGGAGAAGGCTGACAGAGACTGAGAGAGCGCTGAGAGAGCACAGAGAGGTCTGAGGCAATTTGCTAATGAGCCTGTAGGACAATATGTTATTAAGACTGAGACTGCGAGAGGATGGATGGGTGGCACGGCTGGCCTACACCCAAAATAGCACCCTATTCCCTATATAGTGCACTACTCTTAACCAGGGCTCATAGAGCTCTGGTCAAAAGTAGTGCACTATGTAGGGAATAGGATGCCATTTGGGACGCAGCCCTGGTCACAACGACGGGTTACCACCACAGACATCGAACCCAGTGCTATGACATTACACAGTATTATGACACCACATGGTTCATCACCTTGTTCCTTGTTTCTACCCTGTTGCATAGAGACAGACAGACAGACAGACAGACAGACAGACAGACAGACAGACAGACAGACAGACAGACAGACAGACAGACAGACAGACAGACAGACAGACAGACAGACAGACAGACAGACAGACAGACAGACAGACAGACAGACAGACAGGTCACAGACAGAGTGAACATAACATGACCTTGCACCCCGTATGGGGTGTGTGGGAGTGTGGGGGTGTGGGCCTGTGTGTGTGTGTTCCATATAAAGCATTATTCTGTGATGTGCCCACACTCCCCAAAACAAACAGCTTCATTAGGACCCAAATTAAAAACAGATTAGACGACAGATGCAGGGAAGGGGAAATAGCCATGACAGCCTTCGATCTCTCCCTCCCCTATCTCTCGCTCTCTTTTCTCTCTCTCTCTCTCTCTCTCTCTCTCTCTCTCTCTCTCTCTCTCTCTATCGCTCTCCCATATTTATGAACTTGTGTTGTGTGGAGATGATACAGCAACATACAGATGTAGGATCTTAATTTTATCACTCTTTCGTTGCTGAGGAAATGCACATTTGTAGTGTATTCAAGGTTTAAAAAGGCTTCTAAAGTTTGTAATTTTACTTTAAATTGTCAGACTTGATTTGCCCTAACGAAAACTGCATCAACCCCTACAAATAATGTCCATTAATTATAATCCACATAATAATTCGCATTTCCTGTGGCTGTAGGATTATTTTCCCGCTGTAGCAAACTGGCTCAAATTAAGATCCTAGGTTTGTACAAGCCCCACCTGTCAGACAGAACATAACATAGGGAGGAGCTCAGTTGTAGCCTTCTGTTGCTGCTCTCTCTATCTCACACTCTGGCTCTGTCTCTTTCTCTCTTTCTCTCTTTCTCTCTTTCTCTCTCTCTCTTTCTCTCTCTCTGTCTCTCTCTTTCTCACACACTCTCTTTCTGTCTCTATCTCACGCTCACTCTCTATCTCACACTTCTCTCTCTCTCTCTCTCTCTCTCTCTCTCTCTCTCTCTCTCTCTTTCTCCCTCCCCCTTCTCTCTCCCTCTCTCTCTCTGGGATTTGTCACTTTATAATAATAATAATAATAATATGCCATTCATGATGGAAACACAGTAATCTAGAGGAACACTATGCTCTATGACTCACAACACCAAACGTCACCTAAGTATAAGCTGCCTATTTACAAAGACAAGTAGCCTATAAAAAGGCTATATTTTCAAACAAGTATAAACAAGCTATAACAAGAGATAAGAACAAGGTCAATATTTTCCATAATGAAAACCATAATGTTAAATAGAGATGGAGTATTCATAGAGACAATCGGAATGCCATGATTTTAATATTGACCGTTTCTGTGAGAAATTTAAATGTAGGCTACACTAGAATGAATTGTAAGTAGGCCTTTTCACTATGATAATTCTTGCTAATTATTTATCTATATACTGTTTGTATTTTCATTTCATTTCAATACAATATCAGATTAACAACAATCAAATTACATTGTGGTTAAAATGTTTGAACTGTCCTGAAATCCTGAAATATTTAAAAGAAGAGAAAATCCCACCTGGACCAAGGTCATTTGAGAGCCAAGGGCTAGCAGAATTTTTTCCGTCTTAGTGGGGTATGGGTTGTCCCTGTGTTTGTAGAGCCACTGCTTCAGGGGCCGTGCCATGTCCTGAAGGGCCTGACGCTTGTGTCGCACCTTCCCGCTGCTCTGACGGCCCCTGCATGATGGAGAGAGAGCAACAAGTGCGTCAGTCACTGCTCTAGAGAAAATAGGCCTAAGAATTGAATTGAGGCCCTTGTCAATAAACATTTTCGTTATGAAACAAATATATTTAGAAATATATATATATATATATATATATATATATATATATATATATATATATATATATATATATATATATATATATATATTATTGATGTTTAATTTATGGGGAATAGTGGCACGTACTTTTCTGATTTTGTTTTCATGACGTAGTTGTCAAGATCGCAGACTGTAGACCTATAAGAAATTGAATTTAGAGAAAATATTAAAACATTGCTGTGAATAAAAAAACGTGTAACATGAGGAAATTCTTTCTGCTCTTTCACTTATTTTCCCTTTGTACAAGTTGTTGACCAAGACTTGATCAGTGACGCACAACTTTTACACTCAAGAGAAGACTAATTCGATAATATTGTAACGACCCTGGGTTTATAATCGCGGATATTGATTACATTTAGCCTAGGGTTTAATTCATTGTGCATACATTAATTATACTTGAGGTAGGCTATATTAGTTCTAATATAGGCCAAAATACTATTTGGTTAATCAATTAAAGATAGCCTATCATTAAAACGTATTTGAAAAACAACGATAAAGGAATAGGCTATCATTACCAAACATATCAATTTCGTATAATTAGACCTACATCTTAATGCATTTTGGGTGGGGAAAAAAACTTTGGGGAAAACAAACACACACAAAAACAAGTGACATGATCTTAGATTGAATTCGTGCCTGAGTGGTACTTTATCCCTAATATAGAGAGAGAATATTGTTGTTTATTTGCACATGACGTAAAGTGGATGTTCCGTTCATGTTGTAGCCTACCTTGAAGAAGAATGGCTATCCAGAGTCATAACACGTAAAATGACCGTTGGAGAGTGTGTCATTTTCTCACCAAAGTGTGCTATAATTAAACTGGAGCAGAGAAGCGTTTTATTGGTTGCTTGTTTTCTTTGCTGTGCTTCTCTTCCCGCAAAGCACGAAAACGTCGCAATGAAACAAATAATAACATTCCATTTCACACCCATGGTAGCAGCTAGACGTGTCTCAAGTAGGGCTAAGTTTTATGGTCGTTGCGTGGTGCTGTCTGTGTAAGTGCTATCTTTCAACCAAGTGTAAAATAGGCTATTTCCAAATCGAGCAATAGCCTAGGTATTTTGGTAACGAAACATTCTCAGACTGATAATCAAAGGGACCCCAAATGGGAGCAATTTGTTCTTGATACTTCTAATGTGCTGCCTATGATTTTTAAACCTGTAGATGTCACTATGACCCTGCGATATTCCCTGCTTTATCTTCTGTCTCCGAAGCTCCACTGCAGATGTAACATATTTTCTACTAACTTCAAGTCTGCCTGAAATTCATGTTCTACAAATATTTAAATAACAGTTTACTCCCCTGTGCTGAATTTTGGCGACACACACCTCCTATTAATATTAATATTCTTAAATAGTAATGATATTCGGCCCGGAAGCGGCACCTCACCGCCATTGTGTTATCTATCCCTCCGTCTCTCAGAGGTAGTTCAATAACTCCGGCGCTGACGGAGAACGTCGGTGTGTAGGATGTTTGCTTAAATTGACTCCTGTTTCACGCAGCATCACGTTTGATTCGATGCTGGTGCCCATCCAAGCATATAAGGGACTACTGTACATGTCTGTAAATAAATTACGTCTTGAGTGTAAACAGCCCACGGGTCAATCAGAGGAATTTTGACTCTCTGAGTTCCGATTATACGAAAATAACGCATGACATGAATCCTTTTTTACTCTCGCTCTCTCTCTAAAGAAATTGCCATGCTTGACTACACCACACATAGAGTTGAAAGGCACATGTATATATTGGAAACAGACGAAGATGTGTTTTATACACGCTACTGAAAACAGATTGCCTAGATATTAATATATGTAGATTATCTGTGAATATCAACACTAAAATGCAAACCAGGTTGTAATAGTAAATATTAACTATCTGCAATTTCCTTAAAACAATAAGATTATATTGCACTGATGGAATGTTGCACTTCTAATGTTGTTAATATTTTGGCTACATGATGTGAAATGATATTGTAATATTTTGCTAAGAATTGCTATGATTTCACTTTAGATAACCTTTTGTCTGTATTTATAATTGAGATGACTGTTTAGAACATATCCAAAACCATTATTAGATGGCGTTGTTTTCGAAAAGCTTACCTATTGCATTATAAATGCGTAATTACACATCAATCACACTTGGTTACCTGGGGTCACCATCATTTAAAAAAACTAATCTGCACAATTTCAATTTGCAGCATCGACTTCTTACACCTTTCACACAGTGTGTATCACTCCTTATTCAGTTGCGCCACCAGAAAGGTTCCCTTACCCAAACATGACTTTACAATGCAAACCGAAGTGCAATAATTAAAAATCTAAACACTGTTGCAAGTTTGGTTGTCTGCTTTGTTTATGAGAAGTTTGAATGAGTGACATACCTCCTGTGTCTGATGCCGTTGTTGTCTTTAATAACTTGATGATTGCTTGATAGAAGGTCTGGATGAAGGTCCGGATGCTGTCCATCTATTACCTCTAAATAATTTATGCTGCTCCTCTCGACCTCCTTCGTCTTCTCATCGAAGAGGACCTGGTTACTCAATTTGTTAAACACAATAGTATTCATCTTTGGTTCGGTATTCCTCCGTTATCTCTGCTTCGTAAAATTATATTTCTCAAATATTGTTGCACTTCACTTCTTATTGAAGCTGCTGTCCCAGTGTCCCGGTGAGTCCCCTGTGAAGCAAGTGGAATATGGGGATTCAAAAGTCATGCAGCTGGGGTTATCAGATTCAGATTGGCATAATTTACTAAAGTTGGGTTTCTGATTTTGAATCTATGGATAATATGATGATGCGCAAAAATCAAGGTGCATTGTATTTTATCCTAATTCATGGTAGATCAATTTAAACCACAAAGACAGAAGTGTTCTTGACTATACTCAAAGACCATCCATCTCAATAAAACACATCCCAGTCTGCAGTGCGGTGCCATGCATCCATTACGCATTCCTGTGAGCGATATTTTCATTTTACTCATTAAACTATATTCACTAGGCTGCTAAAATGACTAAAATGTCAACACAACCTCACCATACATACAGAGAATCTCAATACATTGAGAAAAAAATACTGTCCATCAGATTAGCTAAATGGGTCCACAGCCGCACGGGCTCATTAGTGCAGAATTTAATTCCATCGCCTTTATTTCCCTGATTTTAGAGACACAATGCATTCCACACCACCGCATGTTGCCTTGAAATCTCTCTCTATCGTCGACAGAAATTTCAGAGGTGCAAATAGTTCAGCTATAAATTTGAGATTTTTTTCTGTTTGATTTAAAACCTTCGAGGTTTATGATTTACAGTTATAGTAGCCTACTATCATACCGCTAAATATTTCTGGTTTAACATGAGCATGACTCCAATCACCGGAGGGATATACCGTGCCATCACCATGGAGCAATGTTGCCAGATGTATCCCATTTAAAGTTGAGGCAGACGTTTTTCCATTGTAGTCACACATAAGAAACCCTATCAAACGGTGTCTCGTTCTTAGTTACCTGTACGGTAGCCTGCCTGCGTCTCTGTGTAGTGTGTAGTAATCCTGCTTCCAGTTGTCCATTCCCTGCTCACATGTTCCCGTTCTAAGTTCCTGAGCTGAAACCACACGAACCGCGGTCGCCTCTCTGCTTTATTCAGTGGCCTCCGATTCTCAGCCCGGGAATCTGAATATGTCACCCTTCTCATGTTTCCTAGCACAGAGCCCCAGCATGCGAACATAAAGTTAATGCTCTATGCCTGTTCCGCGGCTCGCATAGCCTTAAGGCATCGGGGATACAGCGCTGCTAGTTCGCGTGTATACTTTTTCCATCGATCTATTATTGCACTCGATATCAAATTTCTATGCAATAATGTATATATCAGTGATATTTTTGTTTCATTCTATTGTACGCACATTTTCTTGAGAAGGTAGCAGGGGTAGTCTGACGTGATGCAACACATTCTCACCGAATAACGGTCCTCTGCTCGGTCAACTGCATCTGTGCAGGTGCTCATGAGTGTCAGTGATAGAATGCAGTCAATTGGAGCGTGTAAAATGTGAGGTTATTTACAATCATGGCCTTGAAATGTAATTGTTATTCCAGACATCGGTTCATATTGAGCATTTTCCATTTTATGCACAATCCGCCAGAGTGCTTATGTTTTGAGTATAGCCTATCAAAGGCTAACGTTTAAAGGTAGTTTAAACGTTTTTGTCCTTTTAAGAAATACAACTAACATACTCCTTGGTTTTTACAAGGTCATCAATGCAGCCCTGCTGAAGGAAAACAGATACATTAATTGAAATAGCATATCTAGAGTTCTCTGTTTGGCCTAATTTGCGGTGGCTTTCAGGAAAAATGTTGTGCTTTTATAGATAGCCTAGCCTACCACTGATTACCACTGATGAACCCTTTCATTTACTGTAATTGCAGAAGTTTTTTAAAGGGGCAATCTGGGATTGGTACATCAATTTTTTGACTTTTAAACCAGGTGACCGTTTTGTTGATGTTTGAATCCCAGATTGCTCCTTTAGGGCCTTTCTGCCTGAATCAGAAATGCTGTGCTCTTGAGCTGTTGCCTTTTCGGGTTTATCCAAGGTAGTGATTCTCTGTATGTGACTAAGCAGCAGACCTATATAGATGTTTAGAGATCCATGTAATTATTGTTTATTTATGATTATTTTCATTTAATGGGGGGAAGAACTTTTGCAAACAGGCTATGAATGAGTCTGTCATGTAATAACTGTAATTAAGGTTTTAGTCTGTTTATTTTCTCAATAAGATTGCTATGTGTGATATCTAACTTGGCCGCCTATATGCACCTTCTGAAAGTAACTCACTTTACCTGCTCCTGATATGATCTATGACCTTTAGGGTCACCATATCCCCCCTGAGATTAACGTGTGTAGTGGCTCCTCCTTTCAACAGCGTATCTAAATCTAACATGCGGTGCCTTTTATAATAATATGCCATTTGGCAGACGCTTTTGTCCAAAGCGACTTACAGTCATGTGCGCATACATTTTTATGTATGGGTGGTCCCGGGGATCGAACCCACTACCCTGGCGTTATAAGCGCCATGCTCTACCAATTGAGCTACAGAGGACCACGAGGAAATACATATCACTTCTTAAATGTAAAATCTCGATTCCAAAAGGCTTTAAATATAATATCAGATGTCCAATACCTTAAAAACACAAAAATATGCATTTTGAAAACTTTTTTTTTAGTGGATGTAATTATTTTTGCCATGTCCCTGTGTGTTATTCATCAACTTCTACAATAAATATTAGCCATAAAATAATAACACATTAAAATTATTTCTTCATAATTTTATAGTCCTAGTTAAAATCTCTATTTTTTCATGATTATTGTATTTATTATTATTCTATTTAAAGTTGTCTGTGAAAAGAGCCCCTTCCCACAATGACATCTCTTTCAGGAAGTGTCATCATTTCTTTGGTGCAAAGCTAAATAAATATAAACACTAGGTTTGATCTATTTTCCATGTTTTCTGATGTTAGTCTGTTTGTCTCACTCATACATTTCCACCCTGTTAGGCTACATTCTAGAGAACATTTATCAAATTTCAAAATGTAAAAAAAAAATCATATAGAGGTCAAAATCCTCATCAAGTATTTACCATTATGCTATCTTAATCTCAATCACACAGAGAGCTATAGCTAATTTAGGCTCCAATTTCCACCCTGTTAGGTTCAACTCTGTTAGTTAGGATTCTGCAATAGCTGTATGGGATTATGCACCTAAAATGGATTTACAGCGCATTCGGAAGGTAGTTCATACTGGCCCTGTGTAGCTCAGTTGGTAGAGCATGGCGCTTGCAACGCCAGGGTTGTGGGTTCGTTTCCCACGGGGGGCCAGTATGAAAAAATTTGTGCACTCACTAACTGTAAGTTGCTCTGGATAAGAGCGTCTGCTAAAATGTATTCAGGCCACTTGACTTTTTCCACATTTTTGTTACGCTACAGCCTTATTCTAAAACGGATAAAGTAAAAATCCTCATCAATCTACACACAATACCCCCTAATGACAAAGCAAAAACAGGTTTTTAGAAATGTGCGCAAATTTATTAAAAATAAAAAACAGAAATACGTTATTTACATAAGTATTCAGACCCTTTCCTATGAGACTCGAAATTGAGCTCAGGTGCATCCTGTTTCCATTGATCATCCTTGAGATGTATCTACAACTTGATTGGAGTCCACCTGTGGTAAATTAAATTGATTGGACATGATTTGGAAAGGCACACACCTGTCTATATAAGGTCTCACAGTTGACAGTGGATGTCAGAGCAAAAACCAAGCCATGAGGTCAAAGGAATTGTCCATAGTGCTCAGAGACAGGATTTTGTCGAGGCACAGATCTGGGGAAGGGTAACAAAAAATGTCTGCAGCATTGAAGGTCCCCAAGAACACAGTGGCCTCCATCATTCTTAAATGGAAGGAGTTTGGAACCACCAAGACTCTTCCTAGAGCTGGCCGCCCAGTCAAACTGAGCAATCGGGATACATTTACATTTTAGTCATTTAGCAGACGCTCTTATCCAGAGCGACTTACAGTTAGTGAGTGCATACATTATATATTTTTTTATTTTGCATACTGGCCCCCCGTGGGAATCGAACCCACAACACTGGCGTTGCAAACGCCATGCTCTACCAACTGAGCTACATCCCTGCCGGCCATTCCCTCCCCTACCCTGGACGACGCTGGGCCAATTGTGCGCCGCCCGGTCACGGCCAGCTACGACAGAGCCTGGATTTGAACCAGGATCTAGTGGCACAGCTAGCACTGCAATGCAGTGCCTTAGACCACTGCACCACTCGGGAGAACATAGTAGGGCCTTGGTCAGGGAGGTGACCAAGAGCCCGATGGTCACTCTGACAGAGCTCCAGAGTTCCTCTGTGGAGATGGGAGAACCTTCCAGAAGAACAACCATCTCTGCAGCATTCCACTAATCAGGCCCTTATGGTAGAGTGGCCAGATGGAAGCCACTCCTCAGTAAAAGGCACATGACAGCCCGCTTGGAGTTTGCCAAAAAGGCAGCTAAAGCTTGGCACACCTGTATTTGGGGAGTTTCTCCCATTCTTCTCTGCACTTCCTCTCAAGCTCTGTCAGGTTGGATGGGGAGCGTTGCTGCACAGCTATTTTCAGGTCTCTCCAGAGATGTTAGATCGGGTTCAAGTCTGGGCTCTGGCTGGGCCACTCAAGGACATTCAGAGTTTCCTCCAGACGTGACGCTTGGCATTCAGGTCAAAGAGTTCAATCTTTGTTTAATCAGACCAGAGAATATTGTTTCTCATGGTCTGAGAGTCTTTAGGTGCCTTTTGGCAAACTCCAAGCGGGATGTCATGTGCCTTTTACTGAGGAGTGGCTTCCATCTGGCCACTCTACCATAAAGGCCTGATTGGTGGAGTGCTGCAGAGATGGTTGTCCTTCTGGAAGGTTCTCCCATCTCAACAGAGGAACTCTAGAGCTCTGTCAGAGTGAACATCATGTTCTTGGTCACCTCCCTGACCAAGGCCCTTCTACCCCGATTGCTCAGTTTGGCCGGGCGGCCAGCTCTA